GACCTAGTGGTGACACTGTAAGCTGAATACTACCCCAATGGTGGTGCTGAATCTGACCAAGAGGTGGCATTGTAAGCTGAATACTACCCAAATGCTGGCGCTAAATCTGACCTAGAGGTGGCATTGTAAGCTGAATACTACCCAAATGCTGGCGCTAAATCTGACCTAGTGGTGACACTGTAAGCTGAATACTACCCAAATGGTGGCGCTAAATCTGACCTAGTGGTGACACTGTAAACTGAATACTACCCCAATGGTGGTGCTGAATCTGACCTAGTGGTGACACTGTAAACTGAATAATACCCCAACGGTGGTGCTGAATCAGACCTGGAGGTGACACTGTAAACTGAATACTACCCAAATTATGGTGCTGAGTCTGACAAATGGGAAGCACATGCAGTTTCCCACCAGTAGTTGGCACTGTATTTCATCAATAGGTGGTGCTGTATGTTACCAGTGTAAGGTACTATATGTGTAACCAGTAGGTGTTGCTGTATCTGACCAGTAGGTGGTGCTGTATGTTACCAGTGTAAGGTACTATATGTGTAACCAGTAGGTGGTGCTGTATTTCATCAATAGGTGGTGCTGTATGTTACCAGTGTAAGGTACTATATGTGTAACCAGTAGATGGTGCTGTATCTGACCAGTAGGTGGTGCTGTATGTTACCAGTGTAAGGTACTATATTTGTAGATGGTGCTGAAACCAGTAGGTGGTGCTGTATGTTACCAGTGTAAGGTACTATATTTGTAACCAGGAGGTGGTGCTTTATTTCATCAATAGGTGGTGCTGTATGTTACCAGTGTAAGGTACTATATGTGTAACCAGTAGGTGTTGCTGTATCTGACCAGTAGGTGGTGCTGTATGTTACCAGTGTAAGGTACTATATGTGTAACCAGTAGATGGTGCTGTATCTGACCAGTAGGTGGTGCTGTATGTTATCAGTGTAAGTTACTATATGTGTAACCAGTAGATGGTGCTGTATCTGACCAGTAGGTGGTGCTGTATGTTACCAGTGTAAGGTACTATATTTGTAACCAGTAGGTGGTGCTGTATGTTACCAGTGTAAGGTACTATATGTGTAACCAGGAGGTGGTGCTGTATTTCATCAATAGGTGGTGCTGTATGTTACCAGTGTAAGGTACTATATGTGTAACCAGTAGGTGGTGCTGTATTTCATCAATAGGTGGTGCTGTATGTTACCAGTGTAAGGTACTATATGTGTAACCAGTAGATGGTGCTGTATCTGACCAGTAGGTGGTGCTGTATGTTACCAGTGTAAGGTACTATATTTGTAACCAGTAGGTGGTGCTGTATGTTACCAGTGTAAGGTACTATATTTGTAACCAGTAGGTGGTGCTGTATGTTACCAGTGTAAGGTACTATATTTGTAACCAGGAGGTGGTGCTGTATTTTATCAATAGGTGGTGCTGTATGTTACCAGTGTAAGGTACTATATTTGTAACCAGTAGGTGGTGCTGTATCTGACCAGTAGGTGGTGCTGTATGTTACCAGTGTAAGGTACTATATGTGTAACCAGTAGATGGTGCTGTATCTGACCAGTAGGTGGTGCTGTATGTTATCAGTGTAAGTTACTATATGTGTAACCAGTAGATGGTGCTGTATCTGACCAGTAGGTGGTGCTGTATGTTACCAGTGTAAGGTACTATATTTGTAACCAGTAGGTGGTGCTGTATGTTACCAGTGTAAGGTACTATATGTGTAACCAGGAGGTGGTGCTGTATTTCATCAATAGGTGGTGCTGTATGTTACCAGTGTAAGGTACTATATGTGTAACCAGTAGGTGTTGCTGTATCTGACCAGTAGGTGGTGCTGTATGTTACCAGTGTAAGGTACTATATGTGTAACCAGTAGGTGGTGCTGTATTGTGACTTATATAGGTGGTGCTGTATGTTACCAGTGTAAGGTACTATATGTGTAACCAGTAGATGGTGCTGTATCTCACCAGTAGGTGGTGCTGTATGTTATCAGTGTAAGTCTCACTATACTATGTGTAACCAGTAGATGGTGCTGTATCTCACCAGTAGGTGGTGCTGTGACTTATAGGTAACGCTATATCTCACCAGTAAGTGGTGATCTCTATATTTGTGACTGTAATAGGTAACGTATATCTCACCAGTAAGTGGTGGTGTGTATATCTCACTAGTAAGTGGTGGTTTCTGTGACTAATAGGTAACGCTATATCTCACTAGTAAGTGGTGGTTTCTGTGACTTATAGGTAACGCTATATCTCACTAGTAAGTGGTGGTCTCTGTGACTTATAGGTAGTGCTATATCTCACTAGTAAGTGGTGATCTCTGTGACTTATAGGTAACGCTATATCTCACCAGTAAGTGGTGGTTTCTGTGACTTATAGGTAACGCTATATCTCACCAGTAAGTGGTGGTTTCTGTGACTTATAGGTAACGCTATATCTCACTAGTAAGTGGTGGTTTCTGTGACTTATAGGTAACGCTATATCTCACCAGTAAGTGGTGGTTTCTGTGACTTATAGGTAACGCTATATCTCACCAGTAAGTGGTGATCTCTGTGACTAATAGGTAACGCTATATCTCACCAGTAAGTGGTGGTTTCTGTGACTTATAGGTAACGCTATATCTCACTAGTAAGTGGTGGTTTCTGTGACTAATAGGTAACGCTATATCTCACTAGTAAGTGGTGGTTTCTGTGACTTATAGGTAACGCTATATCTCACTAGTAAGTGGTGGTCTCTGTGACTTATAGGTAGTGCTATATCTCACTAGTAAGTGGTGATCTCTGTGACTTATAAGTGACTATATCTCACCAGTAAGTGGTGGTTTCTGTGACTTATAGGTAACGCTATATCTCACTAGTAAGTGGTGGTTTCTGTGACTAATAGGTAACGCTATATCTCACTAGTAAGTGGTGGTCTCTGTGACTTATAAGTGACTATATCTCACTAGTAAGTGGTGGTCTCTGTGACTAATAGGTAACGCTATATCTCACTAGTAAGTGGTGATCTCTGTGACTAATAGGTAACGCTATATCTCACTAGTAAGTGGTGGTCTCTGTGACTTATAAGTGACTATATCTCACTAGTAAGTGGTGGTCTCTGTGACTTATAAGTGACTATATCTCACTAGTAAGTGGTGGTTTCTGTGACTAATAGGTAACGCTATATCTCACTAGTAAGTGGTGGTCTCTGTGACTTATAAGTGACTATATCTCACTAGTAAGTGGTGGTTTCTGTGACTAATAGGTAACGCTATATCTCACTAGTAAGTGGTGGTTTCTGTGACTAATAGGTAACGCTATATCTCACTAGTAAGTGGTGGTCTCTGTGACTTATAAGTGACTATATCTCACTAGTAAGTGGTGGTTTCTGTGACTAATAGGTAACGCTATATCTCACTAGTAAGTGGTGGTTTCTGTGACTTATAGGTAACGCTATATCTCACTAGTAAGTGGTGATCTCTGTGACTTATAAGTGACTATATCTCACTAGTAAGTGGTGGTTTCTGTGACTTATAGGTAACGCTATATCTCACTAGTAAGTGGTGATCTCTGTGACTTATAAGTGACTATATCTCACTAGTAAGTGGTGGTTTCTGTGACTTATAGGTAACGCTATATCTCACCTACATTTGCTACAATATTTTACCTTTATGTTGCACCTCATCTGACCCGTAGATATAACTGTATTAGACTAATAGGTGCTGTGCTGAAACTGACCAGTAGATACAGCTGTATTGGACTAATAGGTGCTGTGCTGAAATTGACCACTAGGTGGCGCTGTTGTATTCCATCAATAGATAACACTGTATGTGACAAGCAGGTGGTGTTGTATGTGACCACTAGGTGGCACTCTTGTATTCCGTCAATAGATAACACTGTATATGACAAGCAGGTGGTGTTGTATGTGACCACTAGGTGGCGCTGTTGTATTCCATCAATAGATAACACTGTGTATGACAAGCAGGTGGTGTTGTATGTAACCAATAGGTGGCGCTGTATCTTGTTGTATTAGATTATTGGCAATGAATTCACCAGTAATTGGTGTTGTATTTACATAGCACTGCATTCATAACTCCATAAACACCATGGTCATTATCATCTTCTGTTTTCCATTTGTCGTCATCATTCTCATGAAACAGGATAAATTTCCTGGTTCATATACAACTATATCTACATTGTTATATATACAATGCATGTAATGTTTCAGGACTTATATTGTTGATGTTCGTGTCAATGATGTTTGAGAATCAATTGTCTTTTTAAAAGGTTTTCAGAATATCTGTCATGATATTTATTCATCAAAATTATGATTTTATTTAGTGGAAGTCAAATATTACACAAAACTCACAAAATTAGTGCCTAACTTAAAAGCCTGCTTTGTTATAACTGAATCCCTTTCAGAAAGACAACCATTTGTTAAGGCTATGATTTCATGCTCTTAATTCTTTTTCACAAATTTTATTTCAGAAATAAATTTGAAAAAATAAAGCACATGCATCAAACTAACATAGTGTTTTCACAAAGCCACACAGTTTCCAGGATAACAATGTTAAGGATAAGGAACTAAATCAAGTCAGCTCACCCATTTCTTTTCTCTGCACCTTCCCTATCACGCTTACACTACCTAGGGGAGACAACTCCTGCTTCTTAACCCAGCACATGGTCTTATCCTTTACTTTTTTAACATTATATTTTTTCCTTCAATATTCATTCAATTCGTATGTAATTGGAAGGAAAGTAAAAAATAAAATGTCAAAATATACAAAAAAAAATGGTGTAAGTTTTAAATTATGAGACTTAAAACATGCTGTTGTTCAATTAAAATAGATGATTTAATGAAAATCACAGATCTTTTGTTCATTTTTAGCTTATTGCTTAAAGTATTTTAGTTTAGAATTTTGAAATTGCAGCATTATAGTGATGTGTGTAGATATCATATTAGACTGTGTGAACTGAATTCAGTAACTTGATCACTCTTAACTATTTCACTGGTGTTCTGTTCCAGGAGCATGACCGTGCTCGAGCAGATGGTGTGGATCCTCTTGACCTTGACAATAAGGAAGAGGTTGCTTCCTCCCAACAACAGCAGCAACAGCAGCAGACCCTTCCAAATGGACAAGGTAATGGGGTCAATTATGGCGCAATTCCAAATGGACAAGATACAGGTCATGAGGATGGTGGGTAGTTCACATTTGTTTTCTATCTTTTTTTTCTTTCTTTTTTTTTTTTTGATGATGATATACTTTTTCTGGGAAATTTTGACACAGTTCTTAGTGATATGTTCAGGAGAATGCAAAATTTAATTCCGATGCATATTTGTAGATGATCCTGACTTCAATGCAAAAGAGGCCAAGAAGTTTGAAGCTGCACTGAAAAAAATGGAAAAACAAGACTCCAAGGGAGAAAAGAAATCCAAAGGTTCTAGTCTTGCCTCCAAACTATCACCGAAATCTCAGAGAAAAAAGGAAAAAGCTACCAATTCTACTGCTCAGCTTAAGGTAAAGCTTTTCTCTTCTTTGTCTTGTGTTCAGTGTGTCGTTAATTTGCTTTCTAGTTTAGATCATTGTCCTTGGCCATTTATATAGTGTTATTGTGTGGTGTTACATGTTGTGTTCTGTGAAAACAAAATAGAAACCTCATTTGATATCATATTTTACAAAGGCAGTAATGCATTGTTCTTTAACATGTTGATATGATCTGTGTTTAAGGCTCAATGTGGAGATTTTAACCTCCATTAACACAGTTCTGCTCGGTGAATTATTTATGAAATATTTTTAGAAATTCAAAATGAAAGCTATTGCCATTTATAAGGTAAGATAACTCTACATCCATCTACAAAAAATTGAAGGTAGCATGTCGCCTTAATTATACTTAAAAAAATGTTTCTGTTCATGTTTAAGTCAGACAGAAAAATCTCTATACCTAAGGTATTTCTATAAACCATAAAATCATCTTTATATAGCGTCGGAGAACTTTCAAGGTAAATCGATCTTGCATAAGCAAGGCTGGTGAAGGAAATGATGTCATGTTCCAAATCCTATTCTATCCCTGTAAATTTCTCCAATTGTTGTACCTATGAGAATGTAGTTTTCAGGAAATTTTGAAGGAATGATTACAATATCAGCAGTAATGCCAAAATTATGTATTTTTCTAAGATATTTCAAATACTGCATTTTGTTTTCAATTCATTTTCTTTGTAGCATGTGAGTGTATAGTCTCTAGCTCTTTAGTCATGTACGGAAGGATTTCAGTCTTTGTAAATCCTTCATATCATTTTATCTAAAATCTTCAGTATCGTGATCCATATGTGTGCAATTATTTCAAATCTGGCCCAAACTCAACAAAAAATCTGTCTCCCACACCTTCAAAAACTTGTTTTCACTGTATAGTCACAAATTACAATATCTTCATCACTTTCGTTTCTATTTTCAGTTATGCATGTGTATGTGTTGTTTTTGTTTAGACTATTTCATCAGGAATATTATCGTCTGGTTTGTCCTCATTTGTCAACAAAGCGTTTCAGTCAGACAATGACGATGAACAGACTAAATTAAAAGAAGAAACACCGAAAAGTACTTTACTGAAGGTAAAAATTCTGTAACTTTTTCAAATTTGATGGTGACGGTTATTTGAGATTTCACGATAATATTTGCTTCTGTCATTAAAGGTGCTTGTGTTTTATTGAGGTAAAGGTTCCTTAAATTATAGTAAAACATGGTTAAGTCAAAGTCAACAGGATCAAATGAAATATTCAATTGATGCGATGGTTCGACTTAGCCGTGTTTCTAAGAACAAAGACATTGTGCATTGAAGATTGACTCTATTTTCATCGGTTGTTTACTGAAACGTGTCTCATAGCATGGCATCACAGCAATGAATAAAAAATAGATAAAAAGATTTCATGTTTTCATACACTGACGATATCTTTTGTTTAAATAAGCAGTTGTAAGTATTAATATAAAACAATTAATGTAAAATGAAACACTTGTCATTGACCTGAACAGCAGGTGAGCTACGAAAAAGTGAAGGCAACGACAACATCACTGGAGCATAACTGTACACATACAGTACCGTAAGAACATATATCGTAAACTAAAATAACATAGAACTTTGTTTGTACATGTTCATGTATATCCAGTAAACATATTTAAAATCATAAACAAACGTGTCAATGACAAAACTAGTAATTTTCATTCATCTGTATCGGCACATTGCTTGTTTTTTCCTTTTGGTTTCTGGCAGTCATGCGCCAAAAAATGTCAACAAAACACATAAAGTAAAAATGAAAATTTTCATAGAAATTGGAAAGGATGGACAACAACATATATTCGACACAAATGCAGTATTCGACCCATCAGTGTTCGAATCATCAGTGTTTAACTTACTAAGATAAAGAAGAGAAAAATCAGGACCAAAACATTTGATTTATCAGATGTATTCCATTCAAGTCAACACTAGTGAGTTTTACTGTAATTTCATCAAAACATTTTTTAAAAACATAATGATGTGCTTCATTTGTGACCATTGACCTCCAGTTGAACCTTTATCAGTAAATACACAGTAATAATAGTGTATAGTTGTTAGATTTGGTGGGGCTAATATTTTGCTGTGATTTGGTTTCACACTTGTCTATACATTGGTGTCTTTGTATACAGATATACCACATATATTTCCATACATTTTAATGTTCATTGTTTGCTGGGTATTTTCTTCTATTTTTAATGACCTTGAATTTACCAAAATAACATCCCCGCAAATATTATCAACTATACAGTATCATGAAAACTGTGATGGTAGTTGTTAATCTATAGAATTTACACTCCTTTCAAATGGGAAAAAATTAGATTTGCTTGTTCAGAGTATGAGTGGTTAGTTTTAGAATCTTTCAAACAACTTATAAATTAATATATCTATTTTTGAGGAAACGCATGTGACTTGAATGTTGATTATGTTGTTTTAGTTCGTACATTTTTATTTTCTTTACTTTTCTCACTGTAAATGTTGTTTTTTAAGAGGATTTTTATTTTCTTGTTGTCACAGAAGGAAGAATTTTTTTTTAGATATATACCACGAAGAGTTATATAACAGTAAAAACCATAGTTTGTTTCATGAAAAATCTTTGTTTTTGATTCAAACTTTATTTAAGGAGAAAAAAAATCAGTTGGTTTTTGTGTATATTGAATAAATTGTGGATGTTTTTACAAAAAAATGGCTTCGTTTCAGTTCGATCTAAAGAACAAAGTTTTCTCAAATTTTAGTTACACCCAGTCATATGGCTTTACAATTGTATTACCCCTAGACATTTTCAATCTGTGCAACGGATTGTTAGACAAATTTCAAAAGATTAATACTAATCATTTAATTGGCTCCAGAAATGGAGGAGAGAACAGGAAAGGCAACTCACAGGCGAAGTACAGAGAGGAGGGGATAAGGATTAATTGATCTATTTTATGTGGAATCAGAGATAGTTTTCTTCAGGAAGGAAAAAAAAAGAAATAGAATCTGAGGCAAAAGAAAAATTAAATCAATAGATTTCATATTTATTCAAATTTTATTTGTGAAGATAATTAGTTTTTTGGTGATTTTCTGACACAAAATTAAAACCAAACTTTGTGATTCACAGTTTCCTCAGAACTTTGAGTGAATTAAGAGACTTGCTTGAGATTTTATAGAAGTTGTCTCCCTTACACTGTATATATAGGGTGTTACATGGTCAGTGTTGAGACTCACCACTGGTGTTGCCAGTTGCAGGAAAAAAATGTATATATACTTATAGATAGAAAATCAAAACATTAACATGGCAAATAAAATTGTATGAAATCGCTAACATTTTCCGCCCTTGTGGTTATATTCAGGCGTTTGAATTACGTTACATAGTTACATAATTATATATATATATTGAGAGTGGATTGATGAATAAAAATTATCTTCCTATTTCTTAATTTAAATTATTTTGTTTTTGTAAGTCATCATTTAGATATTAAGTGATTTATTGAATACAAAATATTGTCTTAATATTTTATTATTCTTCTACACTTTATTCCAAGTTTGATAAGACATAGCATATCTAACAGAAAGAATCATCCAATTCTGTAGTAAACATTGACCTTTGACCTTTTGCCTTTGACCTTCAGGTGTATCCATGTGAGCTGGAAAGTCTCAATGACTTCAGTAACTTCAAGGACTGGCTTCACACATTTGAGTTATACCGCGGCAAGAAAACTGGCAACGAGGACACTGATGAAAGTCGAGTAGTTGGAAAGTTCAAGGTCAGTACACCATATCTGTAAACTTTTAATATTTCGTGATTCTATTTTCTTGATACGGTTGTAATCGAGTGTGTTCCAATGAACAGGTGAGTTTGATTATCCGTCCGCAGTTTGGTCTGTTCATTGTGCAATACACCGATTATCTAATGATTTGTCATCATTAAGTTTAAGGTTTTGATGTTTGTGCTAGAAATTAAGAGCTAAAATACAAGTTTCAAGTCCATTAAATGAACTCATTAAAAGCAACAATTGGGCAATTTTTGCCAATTTTTTAAGAACAAATTCATATTTAAGATATTTGAAAATATATATTTGTTTTTAAGCTTTTGATAAATTTCCCAAATAGGATTATCAGACTAACATGTTGTACTCCTTGTTCAAAATTCTGTTCTAATTCTAAGTATAAATATCTAGTTCACTACTGTAATAAACAAACTGTGGAGCAAATAGTCAACAAATTAATGGTGTCCTAAACAAGGTGCTGTGGCACCCTCTCGGTTATGGCTGAGGAGTAGAAGCTGAGTGTGGACACATTTTATGTATACCTGTTCATTTTATTTTCCTTTTTTTTCTTTACATTTTCACTATGAAACTGGTGAATACCCAATCATTTACAAACATTGTTTCCTAGTACACAGGTTTAATTTTCCTTATCACCACGACTACTCCATCATGTGTCCCAGGACTACAGTATTGGGACACAGTGGCATTTTAAATACAGTAATATATAAATACTTATCACCTGTTTGCTTGTTATAATGATAATAATGTAATGACAAATAAAAGAACTGGAGAGTATCCAATATCAAAAACTAACATAGTACAAAAACATGTTGATGCAGAAGAGTTCTTTGATTCTAGATCTAAGTTTGAATGTTTATGTTTTGCTCAGGGTTCTCTGAAGATCTATAAGGTTCCTCTCCCGGATGACATTGAGGATACAACTGTGACAGGTGGTGATCCTTCCCTAGGGCTGTTCCAAGGTCTCCCTGGAAACGACCCAATCAAAGTTCTAGTCCGAGTCTATGTAGTAAAGGTAGGAGATTTGAGATTTAAAACATTTTCATTTTTTGTCGAGAATTTAGTAAGAGTTGTCTCCCTTTAACCATTCCTGTTTTAAAGTAAGTTGTTTTGTGCCTGATGTAGGGTGTGGTTAGAGAAGTTATCTCCCCTGGACTACTTGACACAAATTTCCACACCTGCTGGGTTATCCAATATTTACAGCTGTGTCTCCTGTGTCGGCCATTATACTCTCAGTTTTGTTTATTCTCCTAATGTCTTGATTGCTGCCACTTTTGCAATACAATTGTAGAAAAATATGTACACTATGATACACAAGCCCTTCACACAGGCATATAACCAGCGGTAGTATACACCGCTCATTATGGGGTGTGCGTTTCAAATTTTACACCTACAGGGTTTTATTTCTAATTTTGTAATTGGCAAGAGGCTATAATGACTGTTATGGGCTGAGTGGATCCCCTGAAATATATTATGACAGTAATTTGAAGATATATATGTTGAATTCTCTCTACACCATCTGTACTGATTGAGCAAGTCGACAACAGCCAGGCTGTGTTATATATTTTGCAAAACAGAGAGAGAGAGTTAAAAAAAAACTCAAATTGAAGTGGTTAAAAATTTTTGTGTAAAATCTTACGGTTTTTAACTAGCCATGGAAATGTGGGAAATATTCAACATTTGTGTAGGAAAGACACAGGCACCGGTGACAACCACAGAATCATCTGGAGCGTTTAATAATTCTTCTGTGTTTCATATTTGGCCACTGCTATTAAAACTGTTTGTGGAAATTGTGATAACAATGGGTACTGTCATGTTTTATTGTCTTCCAACAATTTCTTGTTTTTATGGAGTGAAAAAAATTGTGCATGATTATTTTGATTACTTTCCATGGAAACAAACAAATTTGTGGAAATTATTACAAAAACAGGTTTTATGATGACGTTTCATAGATTTGTACGTATCAAATGTGATTCGGATTTAAAAGAGTTTTTCCGACCTTTGTTCAGACTTGGAAAAATCTGGATCATGCATCATGATGCGGATTTTTTTTTTTTTGGTAAAGTGAACAAAATTCCAGTGAAACTACTGCCATTAGAAATTAATTATTTTCATAGGCGAACGATCTACATCCTGCAGACATGAACGGAAAGGCTGATCCGTACTTAGTTATCCGACTTGGTCAGACAACTATTAATGACAAGGAAAACTACCTCTCCAAACAGCTCAACCCTGTCTTTGGAAAGTAAGTGTATTTATATCTAACCCCCAAATCTCCCTCCTTCATACCCCTGACTGCCCCTTTAACTCTGACGACTGGTGCACACATATATAGGTATGTAGTAAGTAATAACAATGAACTGGTCCAATAGCAACTGAACACTCACATACTTTATATTATCAATGGAATTATTTACATGTTTACATTTTGATAAAAGGGTGACTTGACTGAAAACAAGTCTTCTATTTTCTGTGTCCACATTATTGCTATCATAATTATGATTATCAATAACATATACTTTCATCTTATCATCTCTCCCCTTTCCTAAATATGAAAATCATTTACCAAACACATGTACATTTCAAACAAATTTTTGTTTCCATTGAAATGTTACATTGTCATCATTTTGTAGTGGCAATTTTTTTTCAATTGTGAATGACTCCATATCTTCAGCTGTAGACTTCAAAGGATGAAATTGATGTCTGGAAATATTCAACATTTATAAAGTCAAATTTGTACCATTTCTTTATTTATTTGTTTATCTTGTAAATAGGCAAAGAAAATCAGTTATAAATTATATTTCCCAAAATTAGAACATTGATTTTAATTAATTTTAAGAATAAAAATATATGATTTCAAATGTAAAGAAAAAACAAGTAGCATTAATTTGAAATTAAAAAAAATAAGTATACATATGTATGAAATGTTTGTTTAGCATTTCTAAAAAGATTTACTTTAAATCTATTTGCTTTGAAGTATGTCGACCCAAATCTAATCCATTCCTTGGTATTTTATGGGATGAAGAGGGAAAAATTCTACTCATTGACTCAGATAAAAAGACTTCTTCTAAAATACATGTATAAACATTTTGTATACCAATTAAATTCTTTATGTTTCCTTAAGTAGGTCTCTATTTTATTGATCTGAGAAAGATTTAACAATCTCCAAACAAATTGTATTTAAAATGTTCGACCAGACATAAAAGACACTTCTTGCCTAACAATTTGGAAATTTAATCATCTCAGGATTGCGATACATAAAGAAAAATTATATAATGTAAAATATTGATACAAAAGATTAGGTCTAATGATTGTACATATTTATCTGTTTTCAAACTTTCTTGGTTCTTTCACTCTTTTATCAGCTCTACTATCTTTGCGATAATTTTTTTCAACCTTGAACTGTTGATTGCTAAAACTTGATGGACTCTATAGAAATGTCCTTTTAAAAAAAAATTCTGCCATAGGGTAGGCCGCCTACCGGCAGTTTGTCTATTTGAGCTATGAGACTGTCATTCATTATAGGGTAAAGTTCCACTTCACGGCTAATTTGACCTGTGTACAAGATTACTTAAAAATTCTGTCCCCATTTTTGTTACATTACTTAGAAGATGGGACTCAATTTTACTCTTTCTTTTTTTTAGACTGTTTGACAAAGAATTTATGTTGTATCCTAATATCTGTGTAGTTTGATGAATATTTTGTATCTTTTGTTTTCTAATATCTGTGTAGTTTGATGAATATTTTGTATCTTTTGTTTTCTAATATCTGTGTAGTTTGATGAATATTTTGTTTTCTAATATCTGTGTAGTTTGATGAATATTTTGTTTTCTAATATCTGTGTAGTTTGATGAATATTTTGTTTGCTAATATCTGTGTAGTTTGATGAATATTTTGTTTTCTAATATCTGTGTAGTTTGATGAATATTTTGTTTTCTAATATCTTGTGTAGTTTGATGAATATTTTGTTTTCTAATATCTGTGTAGTTTGATGAATATTTCCTAATATCTGTGTAGTTTGATGAATATTTTGTTTTCTAATATCTGTGTAGTTTGATGAATATTTCCTAACATCTGTGTAGTTTGATGAATATTTCCTAACATCTGTGTAGTTTGATGAATATTTTGTATCCTAATATCTGTGTAGTTTGATGAATATTTTCTAATATCTGTGTAGTTTGATGAATATTTCCTAACATCTGTGTAGTTTGATGAATATTTTGTATCCTAATATCTGTGTAGTTTGATGAATATTTTGTATCCTAATATCTGTGTAGTTTGATGAATATTTTCTAATATCTGTGTAGTTTGATGAATATTTCCTAACATCTGTGTAGTTTGATGAATATTTTGTATCCTAATATCTGTGTAGTTTGATGAATATTTTCTAATATCTGTGTAGTTTGATGAATATTTCCTAACATCTGTGTAGTTTGATGAATATGTGGTATCCCTTTGTATGGCTCCACATTACAGACTTGTACTCATGTACATACAGAAGATATGCAGAATGAACTTTGAAAGTACAAGGTCTTTTCCGTGATAGGAATCATGTTGATTATGAAATGAAAATTTGATATCATTCAATGTTTTGAAGTTTTATTTGATCTTGAAGACTTTGTCTACATGTTGTTTGTTTACCTGTAATTGTTTATGAAGCTTTTTTGGGACATGCTGATTTTTGTTTATAACTTGGAAGTCCATTCTATGTAAATCATTCATTTCACTTTTTATTAGGTTTTAAACAATTTTTTGAAGGTTTTCAGATTTAAGCAAACTGATCTAGTTTGTTATAGATGTTGAGATGTCAGTGTTGTTCATTAATTTACATTTTTAAACCTAAAGAGGAACCATGATAGTTAGAACTAAAAATAATTTTAAAATGTAAAGTTATTGACATGGGACTTATTGGCTAGAACACAAAGTGGAATATAAGTAAATTGAGATACACAATATAACATGGGACAAAATAGTAAAGAATCTACAAGACACACTTGAGTAACTAAATTAGGACACATTTAACATAGAACATGATCAAGGGAAACAGGGACACTTAAGATAACTAGGGACCTAGTCTAGGTACATGTAACTAGGGGCAATGTTCAGGTAACTAGGGGCAAAGCCTAGGTAACTAGGGACAATGTTTAAGTAACTAGGGGCATAGCCTAGGTTACAAGGGACAATGTTTAGGTAACTAGGGACATAATCTAGGTAACAAGGGACAATGTTTACATAACTAGGGACATCGTCTGGGTAACTAGGGACATAGTCGAGGTAACAAGGGACATTGTCTATGTAACTAGGGACATAGTCTTGGTAACAAGGGACAATGTTTACATAACTAGGGACATAGTCTAGGTAACAAGGGACAATGTTTACATAACAAGGGACATAGTTTAGGAAATTGGGAATATTTTAATGATCAGTGGTGTTACTTGAATTATATATTTAAAATGTCAACTGATATACACATTTTAATTGGGTGTGGTCAGATTTTGTAATAATGAACATGGTTCTAATTTACTTTGATATCAATACTAACATAGTAATAGATGATATCAATACTAACATAGTAATAGATGATATCAATACTAACATAGTAATAGATGATATCAATACTAACATAGTAATAGATGATATCAATACTAACATAGTAATAGATGATATCAATACTAACATAGTAATAGATGATATCAATACTAACATAGTAATAGATGATATCAATACTAACATAGTAATAGATGATATCAATACTAACATAGTAATAGATGATATCAATACTAACATAGTAATAGATGAAGCAATGGATGCTTATTCTTTCAGAACCTGGACTTATTTCCCATAATTTTATGTCCATGGTCACAGTTTAATCTTTCTTTTGATATTTTTTTGTAATTGTTTAATCAAGTTTGAAGAAATAGATTTTTTTAATGTTCTAATTTTCTCCTATTATATTTTTCATGTAATAAGCCATGGCAATAACTTAACCTGAGACTCAAAATAGGGAGGTTAGCTTATTCGTTACTCTCATGACAGCATTTGTGGGAAGTTTCAATAAAACAGTGATACACCAAGTGTTAGTTAGCTTATTGTCTGTCTGACACAGGCTTATTGTCTGACACAGGCTTATTTTCTGTCTGACACAGGCTTATTGTCTGTCTAATACAGGCTTATTGTCTGTCTGATACAGGTTTATTGTCTGTCTGATACAGGCATATTGTCTGTCTGACACAGGCTTATTGTCTGACACAGTCATATTGTCTGACACAGGCTTATTGTCTGACATAGGCATATTGTCTGACACAGACTTACTGTGTGATACAGGCATATTGTCTGACACAGGCTTATTGTCTGTCTGACACAGGCTTAATGTCTGTCTGACACAGGCTTATTGTCTGTCTGACACAGGCTTATTGTCTGACACAGGCTTATTGTCTGTCTGACACAGGCTTATTGTCTGACACAGGCTTATTGTCTGACACAGGCTTATTGTCTGATACAGGCTAATTGATGGATAACTATGGAACTGAGTAAGTTCCTTTGAATATTTGCTTTAGTAAATACAGGTTTCTGGAAAAGCACTACAATTTTTTAAAAAGCACATAAATCACATGCCATATTTTAATTAAAAAATTTAAATATAAGATTAAAACATCCCGATTTAGATAAGAGAAAATAAACTGCTTAATTAGCGAAAAATGTACTACCATATTTTTTAAATCTAGTAAATAATGAAAAATAATTGGATCAGAGTCATGATAAATTGAAATTGATTGTAGATAAAAATCGGCCCACATGTTTAGGATCCCTCAGTTGTTTTGTGAAAATAATTACATACACAGAATCTGAAAACGGATATCTGTTAACGAGTATTAATTGTTTGCAGGTTTTCTCCAATTGGCCTAAATGTTCTGGTATGCTTTTAAAGCATTTCACTGATTAAGATAATTTTAGAATTATGTTTCGTGGAGTTATAATTTTGTGGGGTAAGTGTTTTTTATTGGGCATATATACACTGTTAAAAAAAACAGTTGCTCCTATCTTTTCAGCAGAATTACCTAATGTAACAGAAATCTCATACACTATATCATTTCCAGATTGCCTCGCTGTGAATTTCCTTCTTTTTTCTTTTAAGTTAGTATTATTAGAATTATTTATTTTTCAAATTTAAGGTTACGTAATTTTGCCTCAAGTGGGTGGTGTCTCTCTTATCTCTCAAGTTTAAATATCTGGGTATTCACAACAGTAAAGATAGTATGTTTCTACAGGTAAGATGGTTTTACCTGTAAAGCATTATTTAACTGTCATATATTTGTTTGCCACTGTTAAAGAAGGCTGATTAAAGTTAGTGACTGTGACAACATTAGTGAAGTTTTCAAACTTTTGTTTACAAAGTATTTGAAATTCCTACCTGTGCTTTGTAAAAATGATTTAAGGCGTAACTTTGTATGAATGTATATTGTGTTCCGATATCTTAAACTTTACATCATTGTTTCCATGCTTACAGGTTGTTGTGACTTTTACATAAATGTTAACGCAAAATTTATCTGACAGCAAGCTAATAATTTCCTAAATGTAATATGTGTAAAGTTTGTTATTGGAATCTGACCCAAGTCCTGAGAATAGATAACCTTATTAGCATACTTGTTTTTATTATGTAAATGTGTTGTTTATCAATAAATTAATTTCCCCGATATAAAATATCAAATCAACAAATGAAACACCATTTGAATATTTCATTAGTTATATGATATACACTATCACATTCTACGTACCAAACAGAAATGAAAAGTACACACAATATAGACTTTTTTGGTTTGGAAATATTAGATATTTTCCCAGGATCGCTTGAGTGAATTAGTGGCAACATATGGAACCAATTCGTGAGTTAAGGTCTTCCAATGCACACCCAGCTCTTGGCCACCCATTTGATAGGGCAGTCCTGTAATGGTCAATTTGTAACAGCTTAATGTCGAATCACATGGCTCATAAACTTTTCACAACTTACTGGACATTTTTATCATATACCATACTGAGACAGAACAGCCTGACAACCTTAAAGATAATTAGTAATTAATGGGTCACATAAACAGTGTTTTACTCATCGCAACTTCTTGAATGATGTCCCTTGTTGCTGATCACCTTTCTTAAACAGGTGGTCATTACAGATTCACATAAATCATTACCCAACAGACAATCTATCTGTGTAGTGTTCAGCAAGTTTTCTAGCCTAAGTAATTCTGAAAGAAAATTTTGCAATCTCACACATCCTGTTTTATTTTCCATGTCAGTTTCTGCTGTCTCATCCTCAATGTCAACTTCTACTGTCTCATCTTCAATATCCACTTCTACTCTCTCATCCTCAATATCCACTTCTACTCTCTCATCCTCAAGGTCAACTTCTCCTCTCTCATCCTCAAGGTCAACTTCTACTCTCTCATCCTCAAGGTCAACTTCTACTGCCTCATCCTCAATGTCAGCTTCTATTGTCTCATCCTCAATGTCAGTTTCTGGTGTCTCATCCTCAATGTCAGCTTCTACTGTCTCATCCTCAATGTCAGTTTCTGCTGTCTCATCCTCAATGTCAACTTCTACTATCTCATCCTCAATGTCAGTTTCTGGTGTCTCATCCTCAATGTCAGCTTCTACTGTCTCATCCTCAATGTCAGTTTCTGGTGTCTCATCCTCAATGTCAACTTCTACTATCTCATCCTCAATGTCAGTTTCTGGTGTCTCATCCTCAATGTCAGTTGCTGGTGTCTCATCCTCAATGTCAGTTTCTGGTGTCTCATCCTCAATGTCAGTTTCTGCTGTCTCATCCTCAATGTCAGTTTCTGCTGTCTCATCCTCAATGTCAGTTTCTGCTGTCTCATCCGCAATGTCAGCTTCTACTGTCTCATCCTCAATGTCAGTTTCTGGTGTCTCATCCTCAATGTCAGCTTCTACTGTCTCATCCTCAATGTCAGTTTCTGGTGTCTCATCCGCAATGTCAGCTTCCACTGTCTCATCCTCAATGTCAGTTTCTGCTGTCTCATCCTCAATGTCAGTTTCTGCTGTCTCATCCTCAATGTCAGTTTCTGGTGTCTCATCCTCAGTGTCAACCCTAACATCTTGTACCTGATTCCATGTAAAAAACATCCAAGGAATAAAAGAAATTGGAGAGAGAGAAATGTGACTAGGTACTCAAGAAGAAACATCCAAGGAAGAATAATAGAAAGGAATAATTGAAAAGCAGCTAATTTAGCAAAAATTAGATACAGACAAAAAGTCAGGCCAAGTTAGAAGTGACAGAGAAAGGATATGAGAAAAAGAGATAGAAGTGTCATATTGTTTATCCTAGCACCTACAGCTACCTCTCATTACTTCAGTATCTCTGTATCCCTCACGCCCTGTCACGATTAATTGTGTGAGGCATGGAACTCACTTACTCCAGTGCTTAAGCTCTTGGGAATCAACTTTTCCATAAATCTCAAAGTTAAAATTTTCAAAATTCCAATCTGGCAATAGTTTTACATCTACCACTCATGAAAGGGGCTGCTGTGAAAAGCATTCCTATTGCTCATTGTGCTTGGTAATGCTACATTAGAAAATAAAATTTTGACAACGTACAGTTGATTTGTCACAAGATCAACCAACCCTGACTTGTTATGGGCTAGCTTTGACAGTATTAGGGAAGGAATGAGACCTTAAAACAAATGGAATTTGAATCACTCCCCAAGAAAAACAAACAGAATTGACTCAAGAGCCCTTGACCATTTTAAGTACGGTCAAAAATGTCGGAGAGAACATGTGGGGATACATGTGGATTAAGAGGTTTTTGATTAGAAGCACATGCTTGTGTCGAGACTCTCATCTGTCCGGAATGTCCTCCCCCTACTCTCTATTTTCTCCTCAACTCTGTCATTCATTCATTTCTTCTATCCTTCATTGTTTACTTTCTTTTCGTTTGAGTGTTTGCTGAATCTCCAATTGCTTCATAATATTATTTTTTGAAGACATGCAGGAATTTTCATTGTCAGATTAGTTTTTTTAGTAAGAAAACCCGCTGTCAAAGTGATAATATATCAAGAGTACGTTTATATTCCAATTTTTGTCTTTTAAATCAAATTTTGAAAGAAAAATTTTTATTCATTGTTTTTTTTGTTTCTGTAATTTTTTTCTTAAGATAGGTTTCAATGCAGAGTACATATTAAATACTGTATATGGCATTTGATTCTATGTTTAGGTATAAGTATGAGGGCAAAGTTTCATATACATTACATTACAACAAAATTCTCATAACAATAGAAATGTTTTTAGAAGTACAATTCAAATTAAAAAGACAAAATAGTTCCTGCTTATTGTTGATTTAAAAGTTGCAGTGTGGTTCATATACCAAATGAGCGCGACTAATGGTGTATGGGTCGGTTTGCAAACAGCTTGTTTAGATCTGGACAAAGATAAAGCAATTAATTAAGTTCTAAATGCCAGATTGTTAATTTAAAATTATCTGCCATATGGTACATAGATTACGATGTCATAATAAGATTAAAAACACAATACACAAGAATTATCAGACTACGATGAATTAGACCCTGTGTATGGTACTCGGTTGGAAAAAGAACGGAGTGCTTGTGGCTATTCTTGTGGTTTTCATGATAATACAGGAAAATATTGTGTGATATTATGTTTTCTCTGCAATTTTTTTTGTTAAGTTGTGGGTCTGTGGTTTTGAAGGAAATTTGTTTTCCCTTAGTTCTAAAGATAAATTTGTAACTTTTTATCATGCATAAAAAAGAAAAGATTGATTATCATTGGGTATTTGTTTGTTTAAAAAAATTACATCGCTGATTGATAGATGTTCAACTACCTGTGTATAAAGACCACTTTCCTTCTACCGAAATGTACTCTCTTGTTCTATATTAATAATTTAAAGTTTACCTGAATAGACAGACCAACCCAGGAGGATAACAAGCAACATTTTCTGACAAAAACTATGTATAGAGACCATCACAAATCGTTAAAAAATGTACCTGTATAGAGAGGTCACTCCCCATTGGGGGGAGGGGAACAGTCTCAATTTTTTGGTAGTTTTATCTGTATATACAGACAAGCTTTGTGAAAAAATGAAGAAAGATTTCTGCAGTTGTGTAACAATTTTAGCTGTATAAACAGACCACAACAGTTATATGAGAAAATTCACCTATATTCACAAGATAATAGTGTAACAGAAATATCTATTATTCAAAACTTGATAAGATATTTCAGGCAATAATAAAAAAGTTTCAGAGTTACATTTTGAAATAAGTTGATCAAAAAAGGACGATAAACAAATAGAGATTTGACAATGAAGACAGTTTACTGCAGTTGTTAAGATAGTATCTGTGTTGAGAAATTCCACTGTAATGACCAAAGGTGAACAACCTCGTAGGTGAAATATTGGGGTGGATTATTAAAGGGGTCAGACAAAAATCCCTAATTTAACATGATGGGATGAAATAGTCATGTTGTTTTTTACAAAAGCCATCCTACTTTTTTCTTTTTTTTTTCCACGGGAGGTCCAGCTGTCATCATTCTTCATCCCTAGAGAATCTTTAACAATGACCAGTTAGGTACAATGGTCGCCAGTAAATTACCTACCCATTTAAAAGGACCCCACAGATTTGTATAAGATTTCGGAAGCCACTGTTGTAATGGTATTTGCTTATCACCACAAATTCTGCAGAGTTACTGACCCTTGAATTTGTTGCCAAATGGGTCAGTGCTTGTTCTTTTTTAACTCCGAACACAGGTCACGGATTTAACATCAGATTGTTCATTGTCGTTTGATATCTGTTATAGAGGGAAAACGCTATCGACTAGATGAATCGTTATTTGTTACAGCTAATGGACATAATACACATTGTCTTTGTTTACACACAAACAGCCCTAGATTCATTGAAATGTTATGCAAATTTCCAACATTGATTTATTTGTTTGTATGAGTTGTACAGAAATGGACAGTCAAGGACTGTTTAGAATTTTTTTAGAGCTACTTAAGCTATCTGTTTTGTTGGCAACATGATAAGTGTACATCATTAGAAAATTCAGTGTCTTATTTCTACAGGACCTATGTTATACAGGGCATGTTTATTACAGTATCTGGTTTATACAGTGTCTGGTGTATACAGTGTCTGATGTATACAGTGTCTGGTTTATACAGGGTCTGGTTTATACAGGGTTTGGTGTATACAGTGTCTGGTGTATACAGGGTCTGGTGTATACAGGGTCTGATGTATACAGTGTCTGGTGTATACAGTGTCTGGTTTATACAGGGTCTGGTGTATACAGTGTCTTATTTATACAGTGTCTGGTTTATACAGGGTCTGGTGTATACAGTGTCTGGTGTATACAGGGTTTGATGTATATAGGGTCTGGTTTATACAGGGTCTGGTTTATACTTGGCCTGGTGTATACAGTGTCCGGTGTATACAGGGTCTGGTTTATACTGGGCCTGGTGTATACGGTGTCTGGTGTATACAATGTCTGGTGTATACAGGGTCTGGTTTATACGGGGCCTGGTGTATACGGGGTCTGGTGTATACAGGGTCTGGTTTATACAGGTTCTGGTGTATACAAGGTCTGGTTCACAAGGGACTCTTTTTGGTAGACTGTGTATAGGTGAAAGTTCATTTCAAAAAATCAAATGGCCAAATTTTGACAATATTCGTTTTATCCTAGTATTTGCCTTGTGGTTAGATTTAGAAAAAAGTATGAGCAATGCATAATTTATTAATAAGCTTCTGATTTACGATGACTTGTTTGAATAGAATTATTCTACAAAAATATTATCCTAGACATCATTTTCTCAACATTTCAAAGTTCAGGGTATTTATGACCTGGTTCTTTCATGGCTTTGATAATGCAGTTCAAAATTAATATAATGCATTTTGTCAGTATGTGGAAGGAAGTAACAAAAAAAAAAAAGAAAAAAAATAAACAAGAAGAAAAACAGATAGCATATGATGATCAGAAAAAAAGAATTTGAAAAAAAGGACCAAAAAAATACACATTGTCTTTGTTTACACACAAACAGCCCTAGATTCATTGAAATGTTATGCAAATTTCCAACATTGATTTATTTGTTTGTATGAGTTGTACAGAAATGGACAGTCAAGGACTGTTTAGAGTTTTTTTTAGAGCTACTTAAGCTATCTGTTTTGTTGGCAACATGATAAGTGTACATCATTAGAAAATTCAGTGTCTTATTTCTACAGGACCTATGTTATACAGGGCATGTTTATTACAGTATCTGGTTTATACAGTGTCTGGTGTATACAGTGTCTGGTGTATACAGTGTCTGGTTTATACAGGGTCTGGTTTATACAGGGTTTGGTGTATACAGTGTCTGGTGTATACAGGGTCTGATGTATACAGGGTCTGATGTATACAGGGTCTGGTTTATACAGGGTCTGGTGTATACAGTGTCTGGTGTATACAGTGGCTGGTGTATACAGTGTCTGGTGTATACGTTGTCTTATTTATACAGTGTCTGGTTTATACAGTGTCTGGTGTATACAGGGTCTGGTGTATACAGTGTCTGTTGTATACAGTGTCTGGTGTATACAGGGTCTGGTGTATACAGGGTCTGGTGTATACAGTGTCTGGTGTATACAGGGTCTGATGTATACAGGGTCTGGTGTATACAGTGTCTTATTTATTCAGGGTCTGATGTATACAGGGTCTGGTGTATACAGTGTCTGGTGTATACAGGGTCTGGTGTATACAGTGTCTTGTGTATACAGTGTCTTGTGTATACAGTGTCTTGTGTATACAGTGTCTGGTGTATACAGGGTCTGGTGTATACAGTGTCTTATTTATACAGTGTCTGGTGTATACAGGGTCTGATGTATACAGGGTCTGGTGTATACAGTGTCTGGTGTATACAGGGTCTGGTGTATACAGTGTCTGGTGTATACAGTGTCTGGTGTATACAGTGTCTGGTGTATACAGTGTCTGGTGTATACAGGGTCTGGTGTATACAGGGTCTGATGTATACAGGGTCTGGTGTATACAGTGTCTGGTGTATGCAGGGTCTTGTGTATACAGTGTCTTGTGTATACAGTGTCTGATGTATACAGTGTCTGCTGTATACAGGGTCTGATGTATATAGGGTCTGGTTTATACAGGGTCTGGTTTATACAGGGTCTGGTTTATACTCGGCCTGGTGTATACAGTGTCTGGTGTATACAGTGTCTGGTTTATACAGGGTCTGGTTTATACAGGGTCTGGTTTATACTCGGCCTGGTGTATACAGTGTCTGGTGTATACAGTGTCTGGTGTATACAGGGTCTGGTTTATACTGGGCCTGGTGTATACGGTGTCTGGTGTATACAGTGTCTGGTGTATACAGGGTCTGGTTTATACTGGGCCTGGTGTATACGGTGTCTGGTGTATACAGTGTCTGGTGTATACAGGGTCTGGTTTATACGGGGTCTGGTGTATACGGGGTCTGGTGTATACAGGGTCTGGTTTATACAGGTTCTGGTGTATACAAGGTCTGGTTCACAAGGGACTCTTTTTGGTAGACTGTGTATAGGTGAAAGTTCATTTCAAAAAATCAAATGGCCAAATTTTGACAATATTCGTTTTATCCTAGTATTTGCCTTGTGGTTAGATTTAGAAAAAAGTATGAGCAATGCATATTTTATTAATAAGCTTCTGATTTACGATGACTTGTTTGAATAGAATTATTCTACAAAAATATTATCCTAGACATCATTTTCTCAACATTTCAAAGTTCAGGGTATTTATGACCTGGTTCTTTCATGGCTTTGATAATGCAGTTCAAAAGTAATATAATGCATTTTGTCAGTATGTGGAAGGAAGTAACAAAAAAAAAAAAAGAAAAAAAATAAACAAGAAGAAAAACAGATAGCATATGATGATCAGAAAAAAAGAATTTGAAAAAAAGGACCAAAAAAAATCCAATCCAAAGCACGAGTTAAGTCTGGATTGTAGGTTCAGACAATGTCAAGGCAGCTTCTATCCATTATGAATTATGGACATTCATAGACATCCATTTTTAACTTCCATCACATATTATATATGGTGTGTAAGTCATGTGTATACTGGCGGACGGTCTCCCAGGCACACACAGACCTGGCGCCAAGCATTCTCCGCCAGACATATGCTTTGTCCTTATTTTTGTTTTAATTCATAATATAAAACCCATCAAAATACGATACCACCTGTAGCTTTTTACCTATCTCACAATGACAGGATCGGGTGATGAAAAGTTTTGGTCGAACTTCATTGCACTTGATTTAAAGCTATTTTCTTGTTGTATTGAAGTGACTTAAATGGTTTGATATACATAACATCAGAAAAAAATTACTGAACTTGGTTGTTTTGTTTGTTATGAAGGTCAGGCTACAGAGATTTATTGCCACTGTAAAAGGTTCGGATTAAAAATTGTCTTGTGTTTATAAAGAATTATGATGGCTAATTAATCTCGATAAAGCCAGATAGCGTGATTACACCCAGGTGTCCATTCTCAAGACCATTTGTGTGTTTCTACCCAAAATTAAAGCACCTCTAAGGTTGGGGTGTCATCTTCTGATCCATGACTTGACCTGAACGTGGAATCAGAAATGTTTCATACTTGACTGCAAGTATTGTTCAAGTTTTGTCTGTCTGTGGTAATTCTGGACAAAATTAGGAGATTGGATATCTGTGTCCAATTTCAGACAGTGAATAGAATAAGAAAACGGAAGACTTGGTCTTTTTGTTCGGTGGTCGAACCATGGATACTTGTATTAGTTCACTGGTCAGAAGTGTAAAACATTTACATGGGAACATTGTTGTATACTTGATTGGGAATTATCTTTTGAAGAGTGTTGTAGCTTTTAATAAAAGGCCTTTGATGAGATTGAGGAGAGAAAGTTTTTTGTGCACTTGTTTTCCAGGTGCCTGTTGATGTGAGAATATGTAATGATGTTGGGACAGAAAATTCTAAAAAAAAAAAAGATCCGAATCGAGACATGATTTGCATGGCAACAAGCTCGCGTATTGTATTGCAAGTTCATCGTCTCATTCATAATGCAAGGCAGCCAAGCCCTGCACTTTCTGCATAAACTCATTATTCTCTCTAATGCAAAATTATTGGATTTGCTCCATATTCGCATGATTAGGTGAACAAAATCTAATCGTTCAGCCATCAACTTTTCTATAGGTATTGTGGGTAATTTATGTCAAGGTACAAGCGTTTCATCTTTTGTTGTTTTAAATGCAGCTATGCTAATGATTTCCTTGCTTTCTGGACAACATTTGAATTTTTCATTAAAGAGACTGTTAACAATACACCCAACAAATGGATTATTTTTATTTTGTCATTATGCCTAAATATGAGCTATCGTAAATATCAGTCAGACCATTTTGTTTCATTCTTGTATAATTACATTTCCCCCTAGTTTGCCCAAGGTCCATTCTTAACCATGTATAATTAATAATTTGATTCATCGGTAGATTAATTGATAAGGACCTAGACATCCGCTCAATATATGTGTACCCCTCTGCCTGAGTGAAATTCATGAATGACTGTCTGCTTCTTGATGGAAGTGACTTTTCATATTTAATATTGCGGGAAAATGATTACAAACCGCACAAAAACTCAAACATTACATGGATTAAAAATAATAAATATATATGAAATACAGGGTTTTTAATTGGCCTGTTAATTGTTGATGAACCTATTTCTTCATATGTTTGTATTTCACTGGATTAATATGTGATTTCAATGATTGATATGAGATTTCAATGATTGATATGAGATTTCAAAGATTGATATGAGATTTCAATGATTGATATGAGATTTCAATTATCCTTCTGCTTAAAAAAACTCTTAGGGTGAAAATTTCCTCAACAATGGAATTAATACATATTTTATAAAAGTCAATCTGCCAGAAATGATATTCACACGAACAAAATTTTTAGTATTGATCTGTGGTATTTTTTCAATACAAAAACAAATCCACTGTTTTCTGGTAACAGCATGAAAGTGTTGAAAACTTTAGTTTCAAAATTCCTGCATAGTTTTGAAAGAAATGCTGTTACCAAGTTGTCAGGAAATGTATGGTTTTAAAACCACTGCAGTAAATCTGGTGTATTTTGCAGTGTAACATGCATTGGGAATAAGGGCTATTGACACTGATTTTTTATGAGTACAGGAAAGAGATGGGTGTTGTCTGACATGAGATGAGAAAGTGTGCACCATATCTGCTTCCCCAACACAAAATTGGTTCTTGTTTCCCCCTCCCCCCCCCCTCCCTCCAAAAAAAAAAAAATCTTTCCTGTCTGTTTTTGTCTCTCCTATCTTGTTTTGTTTTTATTTATTCATTGTTGTGTCTCTGGACATTTTGCTGCTGGTCACTATTGCAGGAAAATTTACATCCTTTTGCTGTTGTGACATGTATAGAAGTATGATGATACAAATGAATAGATTTCGTCCTCTGATATCTATCTAATGACTTACATTCATGTGATTTCCTTTATTGTCAGATGTTTCGAAATCGAGGCTACCTTTCCGATGGAGTCCCTCCTTACAGTACAGGTGTACGACTGGGACTTGGTCGGCATGGATGACCTAATCGGGGAGACCCAGCTGGACCTTGAGAACCGCTACTACAGTCGTCATCGAGGAACATGTGGATTCAGCACCAAGTACGATATGTAAGTATTACAATGTACATCTACTTTGACCTTTTGAAAATAATGAAGCTCAAGTCTCAAATGTCAGAATCCTGTTACAATGCCTTTGTTTCTGTGTTGGATGAATGGCTACCATAAAAAGTGTTTCCAGACTTTATGGTTTCTGTAAAAATTAAGTTACCATCAAAGTTTAAAGCGATTTCACCATGTATACTTTATTCAGGAACAGTGAAAGAATCATAGACATTTTCTCTTTTTATTTGCCTGAGAAATGTTCTAATTTATTTTCTATAAAAATCATGATATTTTATTTGACATTAGATATTTTTCATGAAGTTCAACCCTGAAAATAATACTCCATCTGAAAAGTCTTTCTCCAGCACCAGTTTTCCCTGATGTAGAAAGTCAGAATTTCTGTATCCGAAACAAAGTTTCTGACACTGCAAATGCAAAATATTCAAAAAAAAAAAAAACATGGCAAAAAATTAAAGTCGGTGCAGAAGAAAAAGTCCAATAATTTAGGACAAAATTCAATTTCCACAAAGAACATTTTCAGCTTTATTTAAGGTCAAGGTCATACTTGAATGAAACTATCAGATCCTAAATGAAATTAACACAAGGTCAATGTCATCAATAGAGGTCAAGATCTTGTAATTTAATGAAAGGTCATATCATTATAAATTCTATCAGATTGAAAGACGATTTTTTGTTTCGTTACGTTTTATGTACGTTGTTACATGACCTCAAAACACATGAGGTCAAGTTTATGAAAACATTTCTCATGATTGGATAAAAAATATCCATTAGGGGTGAAACAGTGCCGTATAAAGATTTGATCGGAGAGAGAACTGAATTTGTATAGATATTTTTGGGAAAGAAGAAACTGATAGGAAAATTGTTCGGGGAGTGTAGCAGCATGTTACGTAATGGGACAAGTAATTAATGAGGATTTTGATTGGGTAGTGCAGACGATGAGTCGAATCCAGTGGTGTTTCTGTCCCAGGGAACCATGCATACAGATAACGTTACGGCCAATGGATGAGTTCTCTTATTGAACCGTCCGACTAAAACACAAGCACTTTGGCTAATAAATGACTTGGTCTATTGCTTTAAAACAATACGGAAAAGAGGCTGTGATGAATGGCCAATGTGAGGATTACAGAGACTCGGACAAAGCGCCGTGTCCAAACACATTTATCATTAGCTGAAGTTTGTTGTAATGAAGGAAATCTCTCTGGGGCAATATGTGGTATGCACGGTAGAATTTATTGAAAAATATTGAAAATATGACATATTGAATAAATTTTCGTAATGACGTGAAAAATGATTTTCTCTTTCCATTTTTCATCTTTCATGTGTTGGGAAGTGATGCAATTTGTTGTGAGGGTGATTAGGATGACAGAGTTATTAGTATTTAACATTGTCTTGGTTTTGGAATAAATGTGCCCCAGGGACCCCCTCCCAAAGCCATAAAACTACACTGTCAACTTAATCCTGTCCTCATTTACAGTATGCAGGAATATGGCGATTTTTGAAGGATTTTTTGTCCCCTTGGCTCAGGGATTTATTTGACTGAATAGATTTAATAAAACAGTTTTTCTACAGCAAATTTTGGTTGGTAAATAACATGTTACAATCAAATTGATTTCTAAACGAATTTGGTGGATTGTTGAAGATGTGGAGTATTGGTATGGAAGGTTGGGTATAGTTATTGGTTTGGGTGATACAGCAGTATTGGTATGGAAGGTTGGGTATAGTTATTGGTTTGGGTGATACAGGAGTATTGGTATGGAAGGTTGGGTATAGTTATTGGTTTGGGTGATACAGGAGTATGGGTATGGAAGGTTGGGTATAGTTATTGGTTTGTTTGGGTGATACAGGGTATGGAAGGTTGGGTATAGTTATTGGTTTGTTTGGGTGATACAGGAGTATTGGGGAAGGTTGGGTATAGTTATTGGTTTGGGTGATACAGGAGTATTGGTATGGAAGGTTGGGTATAGTTATTGGTTTGTTTGGGTGAGTATATGGTATGGAAGGTTGGGTATAGTTATTGGTTTGGGTGATACAGGAGTATTGGTATGGAAGGTTGGGTATAGTTATTGGTTTGTTTGGTGATACAGGAGTATTGGTATGGAAGGTTGGTTATTGGTTTGGGTGATACAGGGAAGGTTGGGTATAGTTATTGGTTTGGGTGATACAGGAGTATGGGTATGGAAGGTTGGGTATAGTTATTGGTTTGGGTGATACAGGAGTATTGGTATGGAAGGTTGGGTATAGTTATTGGTTTGGGTGATACAGGAGTATGGGTATGGAAGGTTGGGTATAGTTATTGGTTTGGGTGATACAGGAGTATTGGTATGGAAGGTTGGGTATAGTTATTGGTTTGGGTGATACAGGAGTATTGGTATGGAAGGTTGGGTATAGTTATTGGTTTGGTTTGGGGTGATACAGGAGTATGGTTTGGGTGATGGAAGGTATGGGTATAGTTATTGGTTTGTTTGGTGAATTGGTATGGAAGGTTGGGTATAGTTATTGGTTTGGGTGATACAGGAGTATTGGTTTGGGTGATACAGGAGTATTGGTGGAAGGTTGGGTATAGTTATTGGTTTGGGTGATACATGGAAGGTTGGGTATTATTGGTTTGGGTGATAAAGGAGTATTGGATAGGTTGGGTATAGTTATTGGTTTGGGTGATACAGGAGTATTGGTATGGAAGGTTGGGTATAGTTATTGGTTTGGGTGATACAGGAGTATTGGTATGGAAGGTTGGATAGGGTTTGGGTATAGTTATTGGTTTATTGGTTTGGGTGATACAGGAGTATTGGTATGGAAGGTTGGGTATAGTTATTGGTTTGGGTGATACAGGAGTATTGGTATGGAAGGTTGGGTATAGTTATTGGTTTGGGTGATACAGGAGTATTGGTATGGAAGGTTGGGTATAGTTATTGGTTTGGGTGATATTGGTATGGAAGGTTGGGTATAGTTATTGGTTTGGGTGATAAAGGAGTATTGGTATGGAAGGTTGGGTATAGTTATTGGTTTGGGTGATACAGGAGTATTGGTATGGAAGGTTGGGTATAGTTATTGGTTTGGGTGATACAGGAGTATTGGTATGGAAGGTTGGGTATAGTTATTGGTTTGGGTGATACAGGAGTATTGGTATGGAAGGTTGGGTATAGTTATTGGTTTGGGTGATACAGCAGTATTGGTATAGAATTGGTATGGAAGGTTGGGTATAGTTATTGGTTTGGGTGATACAGGAGTATGGGTATGGAAGGTTGGGTATAGTTATTGGTTTGGGTGATACAGGAGTATTGGTATGGAAGGTTGGGTATAGTTATTGGTTTGTTTGGGTGATACAGGAGTATTGGTATGGAAGGTTGGGTATAGTTATTGGTTTGGGTGATACAGGAGTATTGGTATGGAAGGTTGGGTATAGTTATTGGTTTGGGTGATACAGGAGTATTGGTATGGAAGGTTGGGTATAGTTATTGGTTTGTTTGGGTGATACAGGAGTATTGGTATGGAAGGTTGGGTATAGTTATTGGTTTGGGTGATACAGCAGTATTGGTATGGAAGGTTGGATATAGTTATTGAATTTGTGGTTGGTTTTGAGCCAATGATTGCATTGGAAGTTTTTTGAAGATTGGTTTTGTTGGTTGTTAGTTGTTTGCAGATGGTTGGTGATGTTAGTCGTTGGTTTTGTTTGTGGTTGTGAGTGTGGTCCTTTGTGTGGGTGAATGGTAAAGGTTGGGGGGGTTCCTGTAGGATGGTGAATGTTCAATGGTGGCTGTGATGTGGTATGAAGGATGTTGAGTACGGATGGTTGTACACTTGGATGGTGATGTAGGTTAAGGATGGAGCCATTGGCGGATGGTTGTGTAGATGGATGTTGATGTGGGTGGATGGTTGTGTAGATGGATGTTGATGTGGGTGGATGGTTGTGTGGGTGGATGGTTGTATAGATGGAAGCTGATGTGGGTGGATGGTTGTGTGTAGATGGAAGATGATGTGGGTAGATGGTTGTGTGTAGATGGAAGATGATGTGGGTGGATGGTTGTGTAGATGGATGTTGATGTGGGTGGATGGTTGTGTAGATGGATGTTGATGTGGGTGGATGGTTGTGTAGATGGATGTTGATGTGGGTGGATGGTTGTGTAGATGGATGTTGATGTGGGTGGATGGTTGTGTAGATGGAAGCTGATGTGGGTGGATGGTTGTGTAGATGGATGTTGATGTTGGTAGATGGTTGTGTGGGTGGATGGTTGTGTAGATGGAAGCTGATATGGGTGGATGGTTGTGTAGATGGAAGCTGATGTGGGTGGATGGTTGTGTGTAGATGGATGTTGATGTTGGTAGATGGTTGTGTTGGTTGATGGTTGTGTAGATGGAAGCTGATGTGGGTGGATGGTTGTGTAGATGGATGTTGATGTGGGTGGATGGTTGTGTAGATGGATGTTGATGTGAGTGGATGGTTGTGTGGGTGGATGTTGATGTTGGTAGATGGTTGTGTGGGTGGATGGTTGTGTAGATGGAAGCTGATGTGGGTGGATGGTTGTGTAGATGGAAGCTGATGTGGGTGGATGGTTGTGTAGATGGATGTTGATGTGGGTGGATGGTTGTGTAGATGGATGTTGATGTTGGTAGATGGTTGTGTGGGTGGATGGTTGTGTAGATGGAAGCTGATGTGGGTGGATGGTTGTGTAGATGGAAGCTGATGTGGGTGGATGGTTGTGTAGATGGAAGCTGATGTGTAGATGGAAGCTGATGTGGGTGGATGGTTGTGTAGATGGATGTTGATGTGGGTGGATGGTTTTGTAGATGGATGTTGATGTGGGTGGATGGTTGTGTTAAGGGATGTTGATGTGGGTGGATGGTTGTGTAGATGGATGTTGATGTGGGTGGATGCTGGTGTTAAAGGTGGATAGTAGTTTCGTTTTGATGGTGATGTAGATGATGTAGATGGATGGTTGTGTGTAGATGGAAGATGATGTGGGTAGATGGTTGTGTGTAGATTGAAGATGATGTGGGTAGATGGTTGTGTGTAGATGGAAGATGATGTGGGTGGATGGTTGTGTGTAGATGGATGCGGATGTAGATGGATGGTTATGTGTAGATGGAAGCTGATGTAGTTGGATGGTTGTGTGTAGATGGAAGCTGATGTGGGTGGATGGTTGTGTGTAGATGGAAGATGATGTGGGTGAATGGTTGTGTGTAGATGGATGCGGATGTAGATGGATGGTTGTGTAGATGGAAGCAGATGTGGGTGGATTTTTTAACCAGCAGGGTGGTAGATAGTTAAGATATTTCTACCCACGTTTGACAGAGAGGGAGAGGTAGTGGGTAATTTATCTACTGTCTGTCTAAGTTATCCTCAGCCACATGGCTCGATTGAGGTGTGGTTGTCCATGATAAATACCCATTCATCCTGACATAATGATCTGCACTGTTACATATAACCCCACCCCCTCTCTTAACGGTGATGAAAACATCTAATTTGAGGTCGCGTCCCCAAAGATAACACTGTGGTGGTGCACAGGGGCAGTAACTCACACACCAAACTTTAAACACATGTATAATGTTGGCAATTAATTCTGGTAACTTTGCACTTATATTTTTATCCTTGTCCAGGGAATATAAAACAGATCTTATTAAATTGATATGAGAAAAGTTTTATCATATTGAAATAAACAACAGCCCTAATTATGTTAACGATTTCTGATTTGAACAAGCTGAGTATATCTTGAGAGAATTTGAGCGGGTCTTGGACTGTAATGTTACTATAGATCGATTCTAACATGAAACTTGATTTTAGAATCTCAGGCTTTTACTTTCAGTTTGACCTCTGACCTTGACACTCATCACATTTAAATGAAAGACAGGAGAAATGTCAATATTTAGATGCTATTAATATATAATTTATTAAACATACACGAAACAAAAAAAAACATTTTCCCTGTCTTTGTTTCAGTAGCAGTAAATGATAATAATCTTATAATATTTCTCAAAATGTTTTCTTAGTATTTAAAGCTTTTGTAAGGTCTAATTTTGATGTGATGTCTGAAAATTATATGCGGTGATTGAAAGTTTCCTAAAAGACAGAAAAAAATTAAAGATTATGATTAATGTACTTGTGTGGTCAAACAGACAGCTATTTAGAAATGACCGGTGGCCAAGTCTGAGCGTCCAAACAGTATTTTTATCCTGTGTCCATTGTGGCGGTCAGTCTGTAACACAAGGACCTTATGGACAGGAAATATTTTTCTAATTTGATGTCGTTTCTGGAGAAATGACCAGAGCTAAGATATCAGACTACTGAGGAACTTTCATTTCCTGTTCTGTCAACACAAGTCCAGGCCGTGAGATTTTGTATGTTTTGTTTTAACTACAGACAAGGGTACAACATGTGGCGAGATCCGATGAAACCAACACAGATTCTGGCTAAACTCTGTAAGGAGGGAAAAGTGGACGGTCCGCACTATCAGCCAGGCAAAGTTCGCATCGCCAATAGAATCTTCTCTGCCTCCATGGATCAAGATTTTGACAATGGTAACGACTTTGAAATAAATTAATCGGTAAATGAGTTACAAAAATGGGAAAACCTTGATGATGTGAAAAACTGAAAAGGAAAGAAAAACATAAAAAAAAGGGTAAAAAATCAACAAAAACAAACTTATACATTGTTTTGTTTTTATAAAACATGCTTTTACTTATAAAAAACGGAATCTTTTGTCTTCACAGTAATGCTCTTACAATGACTAAATTCACATAATAACAGTTTTTTATTTCATTAATAAGATGTGGTTGGAGGTTATTTTGTGGTCTGTTTGTATATACTACCTAAATGTCACTAGAGAAAGGGTAGTTCTATATGTTTATCCAATGACACGGGCGATAACAGGTAACATTTGAATTGTTTAAATGGTTCATCAGTGGTATCTGTAATATTATCTAATATCTTCAACTCTCATCGGGAAACAGCTTTGTCTGATTAAATTGTAATCCAGTGCGAGTCGGATGACACCCGGGATCTCTAGCAGGGTACACTGTCCGGGCCAGACCATTGTTGATTATAATAGGGATGGTGTCAATCTGCCACCAGGGAATAACAGAACTATCGTAGACCTGGTTTAAATTGGTAATGTGAGGCCTCTAGCATTCGTACATACCCACCCAATAGGCATCTGACATTTCTTACCCGCGAATATGACATAATCGAAAGCTGGTAATGATATTGCCACAAGAGATATGTATGAAACAAATTCGCAATCCCTATTTGACAATCGGGATGAATAAATATGATTAGGTTGATTAAATAATTAGGCCGTCATGTCTGCCTTTCTCATTGGATCAACACCACTTTATGTATTTGAATGTACTCAGTAACAAGTAAAAAAAAAAGGATTTCAGTCTTGGATGGATTCTCATTTCAATGAGAAAATAAAAATTGCATTTTTGTCAATTTGAAAGTTAAATGTCTGTTTTTGATGAGAATAATTAAAAATGTGAAATTGGTGTTTATTTTCTCTTGGATGTTTATTGGAATTTCAATAGAAAAGTAGATAAAATTTGTATGTAAAGAGAAACTTACTGTAAACATTAAATTTGATTATAAAGTAGGGAGTCATTGATTTAAACATTGTAATTCTGACAGGTGTCAAAAGAAATGTTCGTGGTGGGTCTTTTGGCCATAAATTGATCCACGAGGATAGTTTTGGAATTGGGCAAAATGAAAATATATGCATTCATTCTTACAAAAATAAAACAGAAAATGACAATGGAAGTGAGGTGGGAGGCTGTATTTGTTTTGTAGATATTTGTCTTTTTTCCTTGTATATATATACTTATTGGGACTGATGGTTTACTTCTGTAGAACATGAACCAACATCTATTACTGTTATGATTTCTTTTATCAAACAAATATCTTCTATCACACCTTTTCAAATGATTTGTCAGGTGTTTTGTTTTTTTGTTTTTTTTTTTCAGCAGTGTCAATATTTACTATTGATACATAAAATATTTATTCATTCTTGTCTGCTGAGAGGCTGTAATATCTGAGATTAAGTTTGTTAAATTAACAACCAATAATATAAATGTTTACTTGAGTTGCTAGTACAATCTTAATACTCTTATTTACTGTATCCAGAAGTAAACCTGGTAATAAACACATCTACAATATCAGTACAAACATACAAACTTAATTTATTTTACAACAATTACAAAAAACATTATTTCAACTTGTAATTGTTACTGTTGTTGGCCAACATTTAAGTGTGCGAGGCCCCAGAGGAAAACCAACATATTTTGGCAAGTGACCCAATAGCTTTTCACGTCCGTTCTGGGAATCGAACCCTGGACAATTAGGTGAAAGGATTGTGCCACCCGACCAGAATCACCCACAAGTTCTGTGTTATTGTATGTTATAAGCCCATTAAATCAAAAGAAATTGGTTTGTCCCTGAGTTGACTGCAGTTAAGTGGTTAGAGTAATTATGATAATTCACATAATTAATTTATTCATCAGTATATTATTGTAGGCTGTACGTCAGTTGATATTTTTTTCAAGTGCTCTATTAAAAAAAAATTGGCATAGGTACATACATTGCCCTTACATACCTGGCTTGTGTTCTTCTGTTATTCTAGGGATGTTTGTCATTTATCCTGCCAATTAAACGACAAGAATTTTTTCTACTCTCCCCCCACCCTCCCCCTCCCCCCTGGTAACATGGTAACACATTCAGTCTGCTGTGTATCTACTCCTGCTCTAACCCACCCCCACCCTCCATCAGTCAGCTGTAATCCATTTTGATGGAAGGAGAACATTTTCCTATCCTGTCTTGACTGATAGGTGTTAATTGGTTATTAGAAAGTAAGTTACAGTCCAGACATTTTATTTTATCACTGAACTTTGACTTCGAATGTTTGATTTAGTGTACTCACTGACCCTGAAAAGATTTAAGACCAAAAGGTCAAGTAAGAAAAAATTCAATGTTTAAAATTTGTACAGTGCTGGTATCTGTAGAAATTTATAAAGCATAGCTCAATATCAATGAAAAATAAATTTTCTGAAAACATTGATGGTTTGATACAAAAATCAATTTAATTGCAGGGTGTCTTCCCTTTGGTCCTTTCTAGTTTTTCGTTAGTTTTTAAACATTATAAGAGCTGAAAATTTATGATGTCTTTCTCCCATCCAATTTATTAGACTAGTTAAATTTACGAGTGTTTTTATTAATACGGTCATGTGATATACCTTCTAGATCTGTAGGTCTATGATAACTTATGTAAATGTGGTCTGGCTAGAAATGTACTGCTCTAATTGGGTCTAATGGTCTTTGTAATTGTGACTCAAATTCAGCAAGGGTTACGGACTGATCCTTCCAGTCTAAGATCAGCTAGATAAAACCAATGCAATAATGTTTGTGTTCCACTTATATACAGCGACTTTGGTCTACAGGGTTCTCGTTTCTTCCTATCAGGTTCTCTTACCGTGTTGATTATATGAAAAGCCCACGAGGCTTAGATGTAAAATTTGACTCACAGTAAGAGATGGACTTTTTACAAAACATTGATATATATAGATGGGCTTATTACCAGGATAGATATAACAGTTTTTTCTTATCTCCAAATTCAATTTTTTGTAATGGATAAAAGGTGATCATTAAAGAAAGAATTATGTTTGAAATATACCACATATATATTGTAGATAAAAGGTTTGAGCAAGAAGTACTTTGTTGCCCTCCTGGGCTTATTACAGGACAAGATAAAGCAGTCCTTTGATTTCTTCAAGGCATGAGCATTATGTATTATGTAATAAGCCCACCCCTAAATTTATGTAAGAAGTAACAGTGTTGTCCCCTGGTCGTCTTGCTGTGTATCCTGTAATAAGCCCACCCCCTAAATGTGTGAATGAAGTAGCAGTGTTGTCCCATGGTCTTATTACTGTGTATCCTGTAATAAGCCCACCCCCTAAATGTGTGAATGAAGTAGCAGTGTTGTCCCCTGGTCTTATTACTGTGTATCCTGTAATAAGCCCACCCCCTAAATGTGTGAATGAAGTAGCAGTGTTGTCCCCTGGTCTTATTACTGTGTATCCTGTAATAAGCCCACCCCCTAAATGTGTGAATGAAGTAGCAGTGTTGTCCCCTGGTCTTATTACTGTGTATCCTGTAATAAGCCCACACCTGAAATTTGTGTAAGAAGTAACAGTGTTGTCCCCTGGTCTTATTACTGAACAATCGTGATAATATGTATTGTACTGATCAGGTCTATATATACCTCTTGATGAAGTCTACAATATCAGCACTGTTCACCAATTATAGTTTCAGTAGCCATACAAACAGATAGGTATTACTAATAAGGGGTTTCATGTCCTGATTTCATCATGTAAGAAAGGGGGAGGGAAGTGTTGTCAGTTTTTGGGGTTGGGGGAGTAAGGTGTCCATTTTTAGATTGAAGAAGTCAACTAGTCCCACAGGTAGCCCTTTAGTAACAAGCATAGACATGGAAAGACTAATTGTTGTTTTCCAGATAAAAGAGCATAGACCTTGATAAATATTAGTCACTTTTATAGAGCTGTTTTTTTATAACCCAGTATTTAATGTTGGATGCTTCAATAACAATTAAATCTTGGAAATAAAAATTAGACCTGATTATTTTTATTGACAACACACAAGAAACAGTACTGTTTGATTATTCAGGAAAAGAATATTATTATTTTTCAAGTATGCTTCAAGCATTCTGATTAAAACACCAAATACCATAATTTATATTGTGGAGAGTTTCCACATTAAGGTTACCACACCCATTGATCGGCACATAGTATGATCTTAGCTCTGAAGATATGAACTGAATGAGGATGTGGAAAACTTACTGTTGCTACATATTACTTAAAAAACCCCATTATTTTTTACATTTTCTATATATCTTGAGAAATCATTTAAATCAAATATGATTTGAAATTAAATTTATAAAAATAAAACAATAATTCATTGCATAAGGCTTCTGCAAAACATTGATCCCAGTTGCCTTTAAGTCTTAAAAACCAACAAACTCAATCAATGTGCTTGCTATAAGAAAACCTGGTTTAGCGTATATAATATTGGGGCTATTGGTGTCATGTTTTTGTGTTATTATTTCAGGTACTATATTGAGATACACCAATAATGTTTGGGGTTGTTTATTTGTTTATGACAGATAACAAAGCACGTGAGGAACACCTAGCCCTTTATGTTCTGAAACATTGGGAAGAGATTCCGAAAGTAGGTCGTAAGTTAGTGCCAGAACATGTGGAGACACGGCCACTCTATAACCCAGAGAAACCCGGCATCGAACAGGTAATTTGAACACAAAGAAATCCAAGTTTGGTCAGATATTAGCAGAATTGGGTAATTGAAGTAATAGGTGTTTTTTTCTTTTCTTTTCTTTTTGAAATAAATTTTGTTTCTTGTAAAAGTTAAAGATTATCAAGATACATGTTAGAAACATTGCATTTTACAATCATTTTTAGCTCACCTGGCCCAAAGGCCACAAAGCTATAGGGATACTGCAGCATCCGACGTCTGTCGATCATTTGTCATCTGTCAGTTTCTTCTACAAAATGCTACTTGTCATGAACAACTGAGGGGATTTTGACCAAACTTGGTCAGAAGTATCCTTAGGGGAAGGGGGAACATTTTATTGTATAAATGATGTGTCCTTGCCCCCAGAGCCTGAGGGGCAATATTTGGAAACATTTGAAATACCCAGCATATAGGTATGTATAACATTGCTGGGCTTTAAGATTGAGGCCCTATGGGCCTCTTGTTCTTATTTAGAATCCAATTGAGATTAACTAGAAAAATTAATTTGATTTCTGCTGACCTTAAATCAGGTAGATAAATTTATTTACTTAGTAATCCATGTTTAACATGATACCACTTCCTCTGTCTGGATTTTCCAGTCTCCATGGCATTAACGAATGAAAATGTCAGAGCCTCGATTTTGGACACTGATTTCGAACACTCTGTCATTTTGTCACCAGGGGTGCTTAAGGACTAATGTGTGAATCGTGTCTTCTCATAGATCTGTATTCCGGGAGCAATTCAAACGAAATGGGAGAAGGTGTTACCTGATGGTGACATCACATAAAGCATTAAAGCCACCTGTGTTCCATTGTTCTCGCTCAGCGAGACCTTAATCTCATTACAGCTGAAACAGAACAGTTCTGCTGAAAAAGAAATAAATTTTACAAATGTTTTCACATTTTGAGATTATAGCAACTTAGAACAATTTCAATGCAAAAAAAAATTCAGAAATGGGTAGGTGTAGAATATTGCAAGTTATGTCCTTTGGCTAAGGTTTTCATTAAGTGTTATGTTATCCCCCAGGGCAAGGTTGAGATGTGGGTGGATATGTTCCCAATGGATATGCCTGCTCCAGGGCCACCTGTAGACATCAGCCCCAGAAAGCCTAAAAGGTAACATTTTATCATCAACATAAATTTTATTTTGAGACAATTATTTCACAATTATTCATCAAGTTTTGACTCTCTCTTAAAATGAGGTAGTGAAATAATTATTGATGAGGAAAATAATGAAGAAACTTGGTCACTGTGACTATTAATGAAATCATAAGTGTTCATCACCTGACTTGTCTTTCATTTCTCTTCAGCTACGAGTTACGTTGTATCATTTGGAACACAGATGATGTAGTCTTGGAAGATGATGCATTCTTCACTGGCGAAAAAATGAGTGATATTTACGTAAAGGGATGGATCAAAGGGCAAGAGGATATGCAAAACACAGACATTCATTACAGGTAGGTCAAAGGTCATACAATACAGAAAGTCAAGGTTTACATGCTCATGGCAGTTAGGTCAAAGGTCAAAGTTTACATACAACAGTAAATTAAACTTTTATTTTCATTTCAAGTAAGTCAAGAGTCAACATTACTGTTAAGACAAGGTAAAATCTCATGATAAATATGTCAAAAGGTCAAACAATACAGGTAGGTTCAAGTTTATATACTGCAGTCAAAGTTCATAAACTCATGACAGGTAGGTCAAAGGTCACACTCTGGAGATAGTCTTAAGGTCATACCTTAACTGAGATATTAAAAAAAGTATGTGAGACTGTCACATCTGAAATCAAATAATGGAAAATAAATAAAGAAAAAGTAAAAGTAGAGTGTGTAGAAGATAAACACTCAAGTTTTCCATTCAGACTACAAGACCAGTCCCAAAAGTTGTCATAACATCTCAAAAAATCTTCAATAAGCTAAGACGGAGTATGTTTTGTCAGGTTTGAAGAATACAGTGTCTGTGCTGTAAAGCCAAATAAGGTGGTATTTTGTGAAAATAAAGCATTTATTAGTATCCGGTAGTAACCAGCTTTCCCATCCTCATGTACCCACATGTACAAACATGTATATGGAGGTATTTCGTCTGATGGCCTAGGGTTGGTAGAAAGGGAGTTCCTGAAAAGTCTTCAGTTTGGTGTAATGTTGGCCTAGGGTTGGTAGAAAGGGAGTTCCTGAAAAGTCTTCAGTTTGGTGTAATGTTGGCCTAGGGTTGGTAGAAAGGGAGTTCCTGAAAAGTCTTCAGTTTGGTGTAATGTTGGTCTAGGGTTGGTAGAATGGGAGTTCCTGAAAAGTCCTCAGTTTGGTATAATGTTGACCTAGGGTTGACAGAATGGTATAAGATAGATTTATGATAGGCAATTTTAAATCATCAAATCACTTACTTTTCTAGTAAAAATTGAAATATCAAATACATTGTACTACAGTTACGGATAAAAGTTTAAAGGTAAATGCAGGAAAATAGGAAGGTCAAAGGGTAGATCGGCCAAAGTTCAGAGGTACACTAACATTATGTTTAGATTTAGAAATACATACATAGGTCAAAAGGCACATGTTTAGGTCAAGGTTCAAAAGTATTGATTCTTTTATTAAATGTAGCAAATATGTATGAAGGTAAAGAGGTCAAAGGTCAGAAGATTTAAGTAAATTTTGCTTTTGGAATCTAGAAGGGGTCAAGTGTTGGCGTGACTTGGATCTATGTGTGCACTGAATATTTCTGACAAGATAGTTGTTATATATTGGTAGAGAATAGAAAAAACGCAAGCAATTATATGTAAGAAGAAAGATAATTATATTTATTTCATCAAGTGACGAAAGACTCCTACAACTTTGGCAAATGTACGTTGTTTATTGACGAAAGCTTTCATCATAGGTATGATTAGTACGTAATTAATATGCAGACAAGTCCTCTGGAAAGGACCGACAGTGAGGTAGGTGCTCTAGTGTACAAGTCGTTTGTGTGTCCCCATCAACTTTGTCGACACAAACAATGCCTCTGTAACGTAGAAGGTTGAGCCTGGACATAATACATCAATTTCTGACACTATAGACTTGGCAGGAAAGTTTTCCTGTGGGGGAGTGTGGAGAGGGGACGAGTGTATCATCTAGATCCTTATGTCAGTAGGGAAGAGTTCGGGGAAGGACATATTTCATTATTTGGCTTCAATAAAAACCAAGGGTTCTGGGTTTGGCTATTACAGTGACAAGATTGTTTGAGGTTTGACCATCAGAAGATAGAACTGTAATGGTACTAATGAGATGTGCTCGTCACATCTCTCTGCTACATCTCGTACATGTCCCTTTACTGCAGACATGTGTCTCTGTAGAAAACCATCTTCCAAACAAATAACATTTTTTATCCTACGTTCTGATAATGATATTCCATATATTTGATGTACAGGCATGCATTTTTTAAAATCCACATTAATTTGTAATATTTATTATTAGTTTTATTATTATTATCTTTTAATTGCAATTTTATCCTCTTTTTTTTCCCAATTGCAATAATATTCTTTTTTTTTTCTAGGATTTTTTATCTTTAATGCCTCTAAGAACCTAAAACTATAGATATAAGCTACTGAGTTCATTTTTCTGCATGTGTGTGTTTTGTTCTCCCCACATGACGGTACTTAATGTTAGAACCCTATCGAGTGCTGAAGTTACAAGGGAAGATAAAGTTACATGTGATCACCTTCCTGACTTTAAAGCTTTTGATGACCCAGATTTACCTTTCACCTGAACTGCCCCGCTCACCTGGCGGGGCCGTAAGATGAAGGTGACACACCTGAAGGACTATTAATCAGCCATAAGTCGTCAATAAATGTGGACCAACACAATGATATCCTCCACTTCACAACTGCAGTCATGTCCAAACTCCACATGGAGAAGGTCGGCCATTTTTTTTATCGATTTCATTTTGCTGTCACCTGCCAGGGTCACCAATTGTGGCGTCCAGCTACAAGAAAACATTTAATATCTGCCCTGTAATTGAGGAATTCCAAAGAAAGACTGACCGCCTCCTGGTCATTCTGAATGTTTTTGGAGATTTATTTGTTTTTTTTTAAATATTTAGTTTGAACGTACATGATGAAAGATGATGGGGCTTCCTATAGCATTACAGACAAGACCATGCAGGCCAGACATTTACTGTAAAACTTTATTGACACCTGAATTGAAGAACAAACTAGTTACATTTAAGGAAGGCTCCCACCAAAAAATAGCATGTGTTACAATGATATATAAAATGATAAAATATTTGTAAGCTATCCTATATATCCTGTAACAAGCCCAGGGGGCCATCACACATTAACATTTGACCCAAAATCAAGGAGGGATCTTATAACAGGAGTTCAGAGGGCCAACACATAACATCTGACTCAATATCAGGGGGTGAACTTATAACAGGAGTTCAGAGGGCCAACACATTACATCTGACTCAATATCAGGGGGTGAACTTATAACTGGAGTTCAGAGGGCCAACACATTACATCTGACTCAATATCAGGGGGTGAACTTATAACTGGAGTTCAGAGGGCCAACACATTACATCTGACTCAATATCAGGGGGTGAACTTATAACTGGAGTTCAGAGGGCCAACACATTACATCTGACTCAATATCAGGGGGTGAACTTATAACTGGAGTCCAGAGGGCCAACACATTACATCTGACTCAATATCAGGGGGTGAACTTATAACAGGAGTTCAGAGGGCCAACACATTACATCTGACTCAATATCAGGGGGTGAACTTATAACTGGAGTTCAGAGGGCCAACACATTACATCTGACTCAATATCAGGGGGTGAACTTATAACTGGAGTTCAGAGGGCCAACACATTACATCTGACTCAATATCAGGGGGTGAACTTATAACTGGAGTTCAGAGGGCCAACACATTACATCTGACTCAATATCAGGGGGTGAACTTATAACTGGAGTTCAGAGGGCCAACACATTACATCTGACTCAATATCAGGGGGTGAACTTATAACTGGAGTTCAGAGGGCCAACACATTACATCTGACATGAACTTATAACTGGAGCATCTGACTCAATATCAGGGGGTGAACTTATAACTGGAGTTCAGAGGGCCAACACATTACATCTGACTCAATATCAGGGGGTGAACTTATAACTGGAGTTCAGAGGGCCAACACATTACATCTGACTCAATATCAGGGGGTGAACTTATAACTGGAGTTCAGAGGGCCAACACATTACATCTGACTCAATATCAGGGGGTGAACTTATAACAGGAGTTCAGAGGGCCAACACATTACATCTGACACAATATCAGGGGGTGAACTTATAACTGGAGTTCAGAGGGCCAACACATTACATCTGACTCAATATCAGGGGGTGAACTTATAACTGGAGTTCAGAGGGCCAACACATTACATCTGACTCAATATCAGGGGGTGAACTTATAACTGGAGTTCAGAGGGCCAACACATTACATCTGACTCAATATCAGGGGGTGAACTTATAACTGGAGTTCAGAGGGCCAGTTACATCTGACTCAATATCAGGGCCAAAACATTACATCTGACTCAATATCAGGGGGTGAACTTATAACTGGAGTTCAGAGGGCCAACACATTACATCTGACTCAATATCAGGGGGTGAACTTATAACTGGAGTTCAGAGGGCCAACACATTACATCTGACTCAATATCAGGGGGTGAACTTATAACTGGAGTTCAGAGGGCCAACACATTACATCTGACTCAATATCAGGGGGTGAACTTATAACTGGAGTTCAGAGGGCCAACACATTACATCTGACTCAATATCAGGGGGTGAACTTATAACTGGAGTTCAGAGGGCCAACACATTACATCTGACTCAATATCAGGGGGTGAACTTATAACAGGAGTTCAGAGGGCCAACACATTACATCTGACTCAATATCAGGGGGTGAACTTATAACTGGAGTTCAGAGGGCCAACACATTACATCTGACTCAATATCAGGGGGTGAACTTATAACTGGAGTTCAGAGGGCCAACACATTACATCTGACTCAATATCAGGGGGTGAACTTATAACTGGAGTTCAGAGGGCCAACACATTACATCTGACTCAATATCAGGGGGTGAACTTATAACTGGAGTTCAGAGGGCCAACACATTACATCTGACTCAATATCAGGGGGTGAACTTATAACAGGAGTTCAGAGGGCCAACACATTACATCTGACTCAATATCAGGGGATGAACTTATAACTGGAGTTCAGAGGGCCAACACATTACATCTGACTCAATATCAGGGGGTGAACTTATAACTGGAGTTCAGAGGGCCAACACATTACATCTGACTCAATATCAGGGGGTGAACTTATAACTGGAGTTCAGAGGGCCAACACATTACATCTGACTCAATATCAGGGGGTGAACTTATAACTGGAGTTCAGAGGGCCAACACATTACATCTGACTCAATATCAGGGGGTGAACTTATAAC